CCTGCTCGTCGCCATGGCCCAGCTGGCCAGAGGCTCCCCAGCCCCAGCTCCAGACGGAGCCGTCGGCAGTGATGGCGAGGCTGTGGAATCCTCCCGCCTTCACGGAGGCGAGGCGCTGGCCAGCCAAGGCCTCAACCTTCTTCGGCAGCAGCTGGCTCTGCTCGTAGGGGCCCAGCCGGCCCCAGCTCCAGACGGCGCCGTCGGCGGTGCGGGTGAGGCTGTGGTAGGTTGCAGCATACACGCTCACGGCACGCTCGCCGCCCAGCGAGGAGGAGAGGCGCGTCGGCGTGTTGAGCCGCGTCACGCTCTCGCCGTGGCCGAGGAGGCCTGGGGCCCCCTCACTGCCGCACGACGAGAGCCGCCCCTCGCCGTCGATGAGGACGCTGTGCCGTTGGCCTCCCGCCGCCCTCGCCGGCGGGTTGGCCTCGCGAAGCAGCGCAGAATAGCAAAGCCACCGCACGGCGCAGCCCTCGCCCTCTGGCTGCGCCGGCACCTCGAAGCCGCGCTCTTGCGCCCACAAGCGGATGCCCTGCTCCGCAAGCGAGGCGTGGAAGAGGAGCGAGACGGCCGCGACGCGAGCGATGTCGACGGGGCTGTCGCAGCGAGAGAGGGCGCGCTCGAGGAGCTCCCTGGGGAGGTCGAGGAGGTGGGCGGGCGGCGGCGCGTCCGGCGAGGGAGCGGCGGCGGAGGCGGCGAGGCGGCGCGGCGGGGTGGACATATTGCAATATGTGTGTGTCGCGAGAAAAAGAATTTTAGGACGGCATGTGAGGTTACCGACTGAGAGAGAGAGAGAGAGAGAGAGAGAGAGAGAGAGAGAGAGCAGTAGGTGGGCGAGCTTCAGGCACGCTCATCTCGATCGTCAAGACGTTGCTACGCGCGGTCTTCCGCGGGGGGAGCTGCGTCGACGGGTGCGGGACCGCGGCGCAGCCAGTGCCGCGGCGAGGCCTCCGGCTGTTTGCGGCGGGCGGCTTGCTGCTCGCTGCGATGGCGAAAAACTCGTCTCGCCACACGCCAAGGGCTTATGCTCTGGCGAGACGTGAGGCGCATGCGCCCAGGAGGGGGGGGCGCATGCGTAACGACACTGCTAGAGATGCCTTTCGGGGCCCAGAGATAAAACTTCTGTGATGCCATGCGTGACCTAGTAGTGTCCCCAGCTATGGGCGTGTCCACGTTGGAGCCAGGTGTGGTGTGGGCGCGAGAATAGCTCCGCCGTTCATGGAGGCAACCGATGCGAGTCGACTGGTGTGTGTCGTCGTGGTTTCGTATCAAGAATTCTCTCTCTCTCACCGACTGAGACTGCGAAGAGAGATAGGAAGAGGCAGACTCCCTAGGGTGGGCGACGGCTAGCACCACACTCCTCTCCTTAAAATCCCTGTGTGGTGGCGGCGTGCCGTCCTCCCATCCCTCCCTTGGGTTGTCTGTTTTCTTTCTTTCTTTCTTTTACCGACTGCACTCCAAGTGCTCCAAGTACAACTAAGCTCCCTCGCACAACACTGGGCACGGGACTGGCGCGCACTGGCACTAACACAGGTACACCACGGAGAAAAAGAATTTTAGAACCCGAAGCTCCCTCGCACGATTCTAACACCCTGCTAAGTGCCTCGCCGTCCTCGCGGGAGTCGCTTAGGCGGCTCCAGTGGTGTACGTGTTTAGTGCCAGTGCGCGCCAGTCCCGTGCCCAGTGTTGTGCGAGGGAGTTTTGTTGTAAAATTCTAACACCCTCCCACAGACGCCGTTGGACCGCCTTGCTTTTGATCGGGTGCGCGCCTCCACCCTGCCCGTGGCGCCGACGGTAGTAGCGAGTAGGCTGCGGGTCGATCGCGCCCTGCGGGCCGCCGGTCCCCGGGAGCAACAACTGAGAAGCGCGCGGTATGAGACCGTACGGCGGCTGCACGAGAGTGCGCGCGCGGGCACCCAGATCAAGAGCAAGGCCAGCCTGCCAGCGCGGCAGCGCGGGTGGACGCAGCAGCCGACGGGCGCCGCGCGCGTCAGCGGAGCGGCGCGTCAGCGGAGCAGCGCGCAAAAGGGCAACACGGGGCGCCGCATGCGACAAGAAGACGAGACGACGAGACGACGAGAGGAAGAGAGGAAGAGAGGCCCGAGGAGGCCCCCCCCTCCCCCCCCGGTTCGAACCGCAAGCAAGGGCCTAGCGCACCTCGCTCTCCCTTTTCTCCCGAAGGTGCTTTTCGAGAGAGTACGATCGTCTGTCTGGGCAGTAAAAGCTAAAACACTGTGTGTTAGGTCAGGTTGTGGTGGGGGGGGGTGGGGGGGGGGTCGGCGATTGATTTTTTTCGATGTCCGTGAGCCAAACTTGCGCGTGACAGCCTCGACCCGCCCCAGAGACGTTTTCGTCCTTCTCGTCCTTCTCGCCGTCGGCCGAGGCGCACAGCCTGGTCATTCACCGCCGTCTCAACCTCACCATCAGGCCCGAGGGGCACACGGCCTCCTCTCGTCGATTCGCTGACTGCACGGCCGGCGTCCAGCACCCAAGCCGCCAGGTCTGCTGCAACGCTACGTGCGGGCTGTGCGGCGGACACGGCTGCTCCAGTCGCCTCGGCGGGCCACGCCAGTGCTGCATGCCCGCTATTTTGCGTACGGGTCGGGTCTGCGAATCACGGGCGGACGTGGCCTGCATCCTGCACGAGCACCCCAGCTATCCTGCACGAGCACGTCGAAGGTCGGCCCCGGCGCGAGCGATCAAGGCGGCACCGGCGCCTTTGAGGCAAGCCAGGGACGAAGCCAACATCTCTAGGCTTCTCGATGCTCTCTCGGCGCAGCATTACCGCTCCCAGTGGCATCCCATGAAAACCGAAGCGGCCGCTCTTCTCAAGGACCTACGCCTCGGCCCTTCCAAAGCGAGCCGCAGCTCATCGAAGCCCATCGTGATCCACGTTTCTAGCGACGGGGTGCCCGATCTGGAGCACGCGCACGGCACTCATGGTGGTGCCAGCGGCGCAATGTATGCCGCGGCGGTGCGAGCTCTGAGTGGCGAGCTGGCCGGTGGGCGTGTGCCTGTGCTCGTGCTCGCCACCAACTACTCGGCGCATCGAGCTGCTGTGCGGCGAGGACTCGCTGCGCTGCGGGTTCGGACGCAGCTGACCGTGCAATCGAACGACGACCCTCTCGACGACGTGCGCGCGCTCCTCGCAGCCCCGCGCGTGGTGTGGGCCTCTGCGACGCGCATGAAGCTCGTGACGCTGCTGCGGACAGAGCCTTACGAGGGCGTTTGGAGCTACTGCTCGGGCCGAACCGAGGTGGCACATATCCTCTGCGGCGAGCTGTTGCCCCCCTCGAGGGCACGGCACGAGGTGCACGTGCGCGAGTTTGGCGGAAGCCAGCAGCAGAGGCACTCGCGGAAGCCAGGAGCTACGGAAAGCGGCAACGGCGGGGGCCGGCAGCATGCGCCGCCGTCGCCACCGCCGAGTAAGGCATCGGCGGTGGTGCCGCTGGAAGTGCGGTCCACAACCACCGCGCGGTGGCTCACGCACACAACGCCCGCAGTTGACTTGTCGCCGGTTAACGCATCGAACGATGAGTGGCACCTCGAGGACGCCTGCGTCGCTTACGGTAGGGGGCTTGGCATTCAAGCGAGTCGAGGCCACGAGCGCGAGTCTGTCCTCGCGCAGGCACACGCTACCACGCGGTCAATTTTGTGGCCGCTGGACTGGCCCAGCGTCACCACCGAGTACGGGCGGATGAGCCCCAGGTATGGCCACCGCCCGGCCAACGCGTGGAGGGCGCTGTACGGCGCAAGCGGCAACGTGAGCGACCGATGCACCTGGCACGAAGGCGCGGAGGACGGTGCGGCTTTCGTCGCCGCAATGACCATGGACAACTTATTCCACGCACTCCTTGCGGCCGTGCCCACCTTTGATTTCTACACTCGCGTCCTGACTCACCTTGGGCGTATGCCTCAGCTTGTGCCCCACTTCCACCTGTACTGGCCGCCCAATGCCGCGGGAATGACGGGGTGGCGTATGCTTGCGCACGCGCTCGGGGTCAACCAGGCGGAGTGGCCCGCCATTGCTGCACGGGCCGAGCAGTACACGCGCCCAGGTGAGTGCCACTGCTTTCGGCATGTTTTTGGCGGGCACGCGGAGACACCCATTGTTAGGGGCGTCATGCACAAGGGCCGGGCGAGATTTGCTGCGCGCTTGGGTGCGTTTCAGAAAGCTGTTGCAGCGGGGCTGCCCATGGAATCCGACACGCTCCCGGAACGCATACTCTTTGTGCTTCGCCATTGCAAAGCGCGCACTATATCGAACGAGGCAGTGATCACCGCGAGTATTGCGGCAAACGAGTCTCTTGCGGCACACGTGCATTTCGTCGTTTTCGACGGCCTTCCACTGGTCGAACAATTTGCCCAGGTTAGGCGCTCGATGGCAATTGCTGGCGTCCATGGACAAGCCCTCGCGTGGGCGATGATGCTACCCGAAAGTGGTGGGCGAAGTGCAGCGCTCGAGATTACCGGCGAATGGCCGTCGTTTCACAAGACCGACTACGTCTACATGAGCGAGATCAACGGCGTGCGATACTTTCGACTTAGTCAGCCCAACACCCCGGCGTGCGTGTGCACCAAGGAGCTGCGTGCCCAAGGCGGATGTGCGGGCCTCAATTTTCGCGACTGCGGCAACATCACGGCCGTGCCAGAGGAAGTGGCGAGCGCCCTCCTGCGCGTGCTGCAGCATATGCGTGGCGCAGCGCACGGCAAGGAGAAGTTTACCGAAAAGCGTGCCCTGCGCCTCCAAGAGAAGCGCACCTTGCGAGGGGCAGGACATGGCGCGAGGAATGGATCCCTGAGGGGGCTTAGGCACGTCACGCAGAATGCCTCGTGGGGCCCTGGGCACGTAGCGCAGAATGCCTCCGCGAGGTTGGTGCAGCCGCATGGGGGGCGGCGACGCAGCCCTCTGAACGCACCGTCGTCGGGATCGGCTGAAGTAAGTAAGATTCTTGAGTACGTCTAGGCTCTAGTTCCATATGGTCAGGCTGTAAGCAGCATACTCACAGCAATGCGGGTACATACGTTCTGCCCACGCCGAGGTCGGGCTCTCGGAGCGCCGGGCGGTCGGCGGCGTATCTGCGAAGGGTGGCCTCGCTGAGCGTCACCACACCGAAGCCACCGACGAAGCGCTGGCTGAGCAGCAGCCGCATCGCCACGGCGAAGAGCGGGTCCTTGAAGCGCGCCAGGCCGCCGCGCAGGGCGAGGAGGCCGAGGCGCGGCGACGCGAGGCTGAAGGCGGCGCAGTCGGAGAAGTCGTCGACGCCCTCGAGGATGCGGAGGTGCAGCTCGTGCGGCAGCTCGGCCAGCCAGTCCGTGGGCGGGGCGTCCTCCTCGGTGCGTGCGGCGCGAGGCGAGCGCGACATGTGAGGGGGGGGCGCGGGGGCCCCCGGCCCACGCCGTGCGCCGCGCAGCAGTCCCCTCCGGGCGCGTAGTCCCAGCAGACCGTCTGACGCCCCACGCCGTGCGCCGCGCAGCAGTCCCCTCCGGGCGCGTAGTCCCAGCAGACCGTCTGACGCCCCCAGACCCACCCGCGCCGGCCCCGCAAACGGGGCGGTGTGAGCCGCTGCCGCGCCGACGGCCGATGGTGGCGGGCGGCGCAAGCGCTGCGCTCTTCAGCATGTGCTCGCCTCTTCCCACTCCCGGATCTGACGGCGCACCATGTGGTTGGGGGCGAGGAAGCTGTGCACGAGCGCCTCGCCCGTCATCGGGCTCGTCGACTTGGTCGCGAGCCAGCGCTCGATCGCCGACCGCTCGTACGAATGCCCGTCCGCCGCCATCACCGGGTCGCTCATGAGCTCGGTCGTGATCGGGCAGATGAAGTCGGCCGGCGGCTCCTCCTCCCTCGGAGCCGGCGCCTCTGCGGCCGAGGACGGCCCTTGCGCCTCCGCCGCCCGCCTCCCCTCCTCCAGCTGCGCGCTCTCCTCGAGCGCCGCCGCAAGCTCCGCCTCCTCCGCCGCCGCCACCACCTCCCCCGCCGCCTCCTCCGCCGCCGCCTCGGCCTCTTGCGACGGCCCAGCGCCGCCCCCGCCGCCCTGCTTCTTCTTCTTGCCCCTCTTCTTGGCCTTCTTCTTCTCCTCGGGGCACTTCCCCGCCTCCTCCTCCGCCAGCAGCGCCGCCGCAGCCTCCTCGGCCGCCCTCTCGGCCTCCACCCTCTCGGCCGCCGCCCTCTCGGCCACTGCCCTCTCCACCTTCGCCTCAATCTCCGCTCTCTTCGCCTCCCTAACCGCCGCCTCAAGGGCGCACACGCACTCGGCGTGGCCCTTCTCCTTGGCCAGCTGCAGCGCCGTCTTGCCGCTCGCACTGCGCGCCGCAGTGTCAGCGCCCGCCCGCAGCAGGCAGAGCACGACGGCGGAGTGGCCATGGTAGCACGCGGTGTGCAGCGGCGTGAAGCCGCGGCCTGTGGCTTGGTTGACCGCCGCACTGGCCTCGAGGAGCAGCCGAACGCACTCGAGCTTGCCCTCCTGGCACGCTATGAACAGCGGCGTGGCGCCGCTGACGGTGGCTTGGTTGACCGCCGCGCTGGCCTCGAGGAGCAGCCGGACGACTTCGACCTTGTCCTCTTGGCACGCCACGAACAGCGGCGTGAAGCCGCCGTCCTCGGCTTGTTCGACCGCCGCGCCAGCAGCGAGAAGCAGCCGGGCGCACTGGAGGTGGCCCTGCTGGCACGCGATGTACAGTGGCGTGGCGCCGCTGACGGCAGCTTGGTTGACCGCCGCGCCAGCAGCGAGAAGCACCCGTGCGCACTCGAGGTGGCCCTTCAAGCACGCGATGTACAGAGGCGTGAAGCCACCGACCGCGGCTTGGTCGACCGCCGCGCTGGCCTCGAGGAGCAGCCGAACGCACTCGAGCTGGCCCTCTTGGCACGCGGCGAACAGCGCGGAGCAGCCACTGCCCGTCGTCGCCCCCACGCCCGCGCCGCTCTCCAGCAGCAGCCGCACCGCGTCGGCCTGCCCGTAACAAGCGGCCCAGGCCAGCAGCGTGTACTGGTTCGCTCCGATCCGCCGCGCGTCGAGCTCGGCCGTGAGCGCCGGGCCGCGCGTCCGAACGGCGAGGAGGGCGCGCAGCGAGCTCAGGTCGCCCTGGCGCAGCTCGGAGGGCAAGGCGGGGCTCGGCCATGTGCTGCACCGAGCGGTTTGGGGGCGCCGAGAACGCATCGCTCAGGAGTCGTGTGCCTGAAGCCCGCCCAGCAAGACGTTCCGGGCTCCTGTACCTCCTGTATCGGGGTTATGGGGGGTTTACGAGGTGTGAACGTGAACAGAGTAGCCAGATCGCTGTCGATCGTTACGGCACGCATGGGGGGCCTCCCGGACGTATGATCCTAGCCCAATAAGCGCCACGGAGCAGATTTGGATTTTTGACAGAATTAAATGCACTGCCCCCGCACGGTACTAACGATCGTAGTTTTGGGGGTGGCGCCCCTCACGGCACCACACTGACGCAGGACAGCCCGAGATTAGCCTAGCAGTGACTGGGAATCGCCTGCCGGTCGGCTTGGCATGAGCCAAGCACTTGGGTGGCCGTCAACCGAGTCCGAGCGGCGCCTGAGGTGGGTGCCACGGCGTCTGCACGAAGGCGTGGCGGGGTGAGGAGCCAGGGGTGGTGAACACCTCCCCGACGGGCGCGCGGCGCGCCGGATGGTCCGCCGAGGCCGCCGCCGCCCCGGCGGCGGCGATGGGGGCGGCGGCGCCGACCCGGCCGGCGTTTGTCGGCTCCACCTACAGAAGAGCAGCCTCTGTGGGTCGACGATACTAACTCGGTAGTAACGCTGAGCGGTGCTGTGCGACGCCGCGTCGTGCGCGAGGCGACCTCCTGAGGCTACCTGAGCTGGCAATGGATGCCACCAGGACGCACGGCTAGCAGGAGCCAGTCGGGCATGCCCTGCTGTGGAGCAGAGCCTGCTGGCGCACCGGCGATACTAACTCAGCGCGCCGCGAGAGGCGAATCTGGGCGACTTTGGAGGCGCAGTTCTCGAGGTTGCCGTCGACGATTGATGTCGGGTAACTTGTCACTGCCGTCCGGGAAGCTCTTCTCTCAGCAGGCCGAGCGCCGTGGCATCGCGCGGCTCGCAGCGCTGTCGCGGCGCCGAGAACCCCCAAAACTCGCGAGACCTCGATACTAACAAAGACTACGATACTGGAGGTACTCGTAGGATTCCAAGCTCTCAGCGGGTGCGGGTGCCCTCTTTGGCTCAGTGGCAGAAGCGGCGTTCTCAGAGCGATTTTGAGAGGAAGAATTTTACCTAAAACTCCTCGCACGACACTAGGCACAGGACTGGCGCGCACTGGCACTAACACTGAGAAGAAGAATTTGACAAGGCATTCTCCTCCGAACTCGTCGCGCCGCGAGTCGAGCTTCACGGACAGCCATGGCATGGCCATGGCGGACGACAAGGCCGGCAATGTGGTTCAGAGCACTATCATCCGCGTCGACCACCTGTGCTGCCAGGGCGAGGCCGCCCTCGTCCGCCTTGCATTTGTTTCCTACTGACATCGAAAGCTAGCTCAAAAAACACACGTGGTGGACGGGGGTACAGCCGGCCGGCTGGTCCGACACCACGTACCATGCTCGAGCTCCGCCTCTTGAGACGTACCCCCTCTCCCTTTTCTCCCAAGGGGTCCCGTACCACGCGGAATCGACCCTATCCCGTGCTCAAGTGCTCAAGTAAAATAAAAATATTTTAAAGTACGTACACTGAATAAACCGCGTCCCCTCGAAATATTCAATTAATAGTCAAAGTGGTGGGCGTGGTCTCACAAGTATGCCGGTCGTCGTGCGCTCCAAGCCGTGGCAGCCACGCCCCCCCTGGCCAGCTGCTATCCCGTTGCGCATCTTCATGAGCTATCGAACTCACGGTGTGCCCTTGTACGTTCTCAAGAACTGGCACGTGCTCAACCCAGCGTTTTCTGTGGAGCTGTACAACGACACGGAGTGTCATGCGTTTGTTGAGGAGCACTATGGTAGCAATCTCGCGAACATATATGGCAAGATCCCGAGCGGACCGATACGCTCGGATCTATGGCGTGTACTTATACTGTACAGCTTTGGCGGAGTGTACGTGGACGTAGATGCTGAGCCTCTCGCACCCCTACATGAGTTTGTGACGCCGGATGACAGCTTTGTCACCAGTGTCGGAAGAATGGCTTCCTTCTATCGCCAAAGCGTCAATCCGCACCTGATCATTGCTCAGAGCGGGGAGGAGATCCTGAATGCAACGTTGAAGTATATGTTGGCAGCTATTCAAGGGGCAGGCGTTGCGTGGCAGGGCTCAAAGAGTTTCCAAAGCTGGAGCGTCTGCCCTGCCATGTTTCGCGCGCTAAACCAGACCTTCCCCAATTATGTAAAAACCGCTGGAACCCTTCGCAAGCACGCGGCGCAGTACAGGTTCTTGCTCGAGACCAGAGCATCACCTCGCGGCTTCCCCGAAAAGATCACTGTGGACGATCGAAGTCGCATTCTACTGTACAACAAACGGAACTTGAGCGTCTGGAGTATGAGCGCGAACGGCCTCTATTGGGGTGGATTCGCTTAGTACCCTGATGCAGTCCCATTAAATCTGAAGCAAGACATTGCAAGCAACCGAAGAGCTTCCACTGGCGCACCCGCAGCTGCAACGGGGCTTGCGCGCAGCAGATGAACAGAAGCTCAAACGACTTTTTGCCCCAGTGCAAAGAAGCCCAATGGAGCAGCTGGCGTATAAAGGGGCCACTGCGACACGGTGAGGGCGTGTAGGGCCGCGTTAGACCACGCTGCGAGCCTTGTTGCCAACACGAGAGGGCGCCGCCCAGTGACGAGGGCGCCGACCGCAAGCCGCGTCCTCGCCTTGCAATCTTCTTGTCCTCTTCATGCTGCATGGAGGGGTCTGGTTACCGCGAAGTCATGTGACGGCCCTATTACGTCTGCCCCTAAGTACTATAACCCCTAGACCAAAACCGGCCTCTGTCCAACCAGCTCTGTCTCCCTTTAACGAGTCTGGGCTGAGACCGGACACAACTCTAAAGCGGTTTGGGCTATCTCTCCGCCGCCGAGAGGGCTCTCAAAGCTCCGCCTTTTTTATTCTGGGCGCGTACTCCGGGATCCTTGGACAGATGTTGCACGAATGCGGGCAGTTGTCGAGCATGTAATCCTTGTCCAACTTGCAGCCCAGGCCCTCTTTGGCCGCTGCCCAACCATGGCAGTCCGTTTGGCGGTCCTCGCACGCGAGCGTGCAAAGGCCGCACAGGTCGGGACACAAGCGCATGACGGTGCTTGGGTTGCGCACGCACTCCTGCTCCCCCAGCGCGAGGCACTGATGGCGGTCGCGGTCGGCACACTTCTTCGAGCCGTGCTCCTTCTCGTCGCACACGCTGCAGCTAACCGGGCAACTCTTGAGCATGAAGCCCGGGTTCGAGTTGCAGTCGCCGTGAGCAGCCCACTGTGGGCACTCTGTGATCTTGTCGAAACACATTGAGGTGCATACGCCGCACGACACCGGGCAGGTGGGCAGGATCATGTTTGGATTCTTCTTGCACTCGCCTGATCTCGCCCACTGCCCGCACATCTCGTCCTTGTCGTAGCAGACGGGCTTACATGTCCCGCAGCTCGTGGGACAGGTCTTGCTCATAAAGTCCCGATTGATCTCGCACTGCCCTCCCTTGGCCCAGCCCTCGCACTCCTCCTCTTCATCGCGGCAGAGGAGGCTACAGGTCTTGCACGAGAGAGGGCAGAGCTTCTTGACCAACCCGGCATTCTCGCCCTTGCACTCGCCGTTGTTGGCCCACTTTGCACAGCTTACGTCCTTGTCGTTGCAATAGCCCCACGAATCCACGAGCCTGCACCGCAAGAGGGAGATGAGCGCGAGAGGCAAAGGCCTCGACCGCATTTGGCGAACGTGAGGGACGACCGACGACCGTCTAGGAGTCGATAGGAGCCCGCGTTTTCACGGCAACAGGACTGAGAGCTGTGATTTCTTGTCATGCACATCGTACTCTACAGTCATATCTACAGTCTTCTCTCGCGCCAGATCGCAGATGCAGAGGCGCGTCTGCCTCGCCCGCGACGCACACACGCTGGCGCATCTCCCATTCCGCATTAGTCAGGCGGTGGCGGCGAGCTGGAGCGCCGCGTTGGAGGCCAACGCTGGCGGGATGCGTACCTGCAACTCCCGCAGCTCCCGCAGGCGGGCGCGGTCCGCGTTGAGCACTGCCGCCCGCGCCTTGGAGCCGAGCGACGTGTCCTCGTAAAAGTTGATGGTGCGACACTCGGTCCCTCTCGCGAGGAGCCCTCCCTAGAGAGGACGAGCGGGCGAGCGGGCGAGCGTGAGTGCAGGTCAGGTGGGCCGCGTGAGTCGATCGGGCCCCGCGCCTTGCCAGAGCGGAACTCGAGCGTGTCGGCGAAGGAAATTGCGAGAGGCTCGGGCCGGCCGAGGCGCGACACCGCGTCCTTGAGCACCGTCACAAGCTCCGCCTTTTGCGGCGACGAGAGGACGAGGTCCGCGTCGCGGTCGCACTCCGCGGCGTTGACGCTCACCACGACAAAGCCGTCTGCAAACGTAGACATCGAGAGCCCGCTCAGCGCGGCGAGGGGGACCCGGTTGGTCTGCGCCCACGAGCCAGGCTTGAGCGTGTAGAGCGCGCGCGCCGTGACCAGGAGGATGCGCTCCTGCGACTTCGCCGCGCGGTTCACCTTGAGCAGGAGAAGGCAACCTCTTAACTCCAACGTCTGGCCCCTATCCACGCCCAAGCGACTACCGGCAGGAGACCTTGACAACCGTCGACGCAAAGAGGACGCCGCCGTCGCCGTGCCGGCTCAGCAGCTTGGCCACCGTCGCGTTCTGCGCCGCGCCGACGTAGTCGCCCGACCACTGCAGCACCCACTGCGGCGGAGGAGAGGAGAGGGACGAGGGGCGAGGTCAAGGGAGTGAGGCCAGGCAGCCGAAGCTGTCGGTGTGTCTCCCGAGCGGGTGAGTCGCACCGAGCCGCGCCGCCGCTTTTGCCCATTGAACAGCTTCTGGCTCTCGGTCTTGAGCTTTGCGAGCCGCTTTCGCGCGACGAACCGGCGGAGGCCGCCTTGCAGCATCTGCGCCACCACGTGCAGCCGCTGCTCGCGCGCCTCCTCGAGGGCGAGCAAGTCGCGCGGCGAGCGGAGGAAGACCATCGTGCGGCCTACACAGCAAGGCCCGCAGTGGGATCAGAGAAGGCACGAGGCGGGCAAGAAGAGGATGGATCATCGAGCGGCCGAGCTGGTAGTCTGTGATGCGGCGCGAGGCGAAGATCTCGCACGTGTCGGCGCGGGCGTCCCCTCCACTCGCGCTGCGCGGGAAGGTGGACGCGGAGACGACGCGGTAGCGGCCGGCGAAGCGCTCGAAGGAGGCGCGGTACGCGAAGCCCGCCCGCCGCACGCGCACATTCTCGACGAGTCCGAGATAGCGCACCTGGCGGACGCGGGGCAAGCGTCAGGCAGGCAGGCAGGCATGGCGGGGGAGAAGGATGAGGGCACGGCGGTGCTCCAGCGCCCCCCTGGCAAGCGCGACGCGGCAAGCGCAGTGGACGAGTCTCGGAAGCGTCGGCCGCCTGGTGCGCGACCCGCTCGGTAACAAACTTGCCCGCCGCCTTGTCGTCGTTTGGCTTGATGCAGCGGATGTAGTGCGGCTCGCACGCCGAGATGGTGTCGACGAGCGCCGCCATCTGCGCCTTGAACTGCGCACCGGCCGTCGCCGGCCGCGCGCCCTAGGCACGTTGCGGACACGTCACAGACATGCCATGGAGGAGCCCGCCGGATGAGGGAAGAGCGCGAGAGGGGGTGGGCGGGGCGTGTTTTGTGCGTGTGTGAGCGTGCGTCGCGGCGCCTGGCCGCCGCCGCCCGCGGCGCGGGGCGACTTGGTCGCGGCCGGGGGCAGGAGCTCGCGGATGAGCGGGCAGGAGGACTGGGCGCACAGCTCGACGAGGTCGCGGAAGAGCGTGTCGCGGTTCTTCTCGAGCAGGCCGCGGCACGAGTACGACACCTCGCCGGCGTAGTGCACGATTGTGAAGTCGCCGCGGAGCGCGCCCCCGGCCGCCTTTTCGACGCGGAAGTGGCCATGCCCCGAGAGGCGCGCCTCTAGCTTTGAGAGCAGGCTCTCGTCTGTCCCTTTCGGCATGATGGTCTCCTCGTCCGCAAAAGCCAGCACCTACGGGACACGTTGCGGACACGTCGCGGACACGTCGCGGACATGCGTCTCCCCGTCTGCAAAGGCGCGGACACCCCGGAGATGGCTTAGGGGCAACTCTCGGCTGTTCGCGTGATCTCGGCGAGTCGCGGCTAGTTCGGACCCCAGGCGGCCTCGCCCCCTCGATGAGCTTGCAGACGACCAGGTTGTCGAAGAACTGGACCGGCGACCACCTATTCAGCGCTCCAGCCCATCACGCCACGGGCGCTGCTTTCGAGTCGCGATGAGGATCGAGAGCGAGGCACTCGATCCCCTCGCGAGCGTACACCTCCTGCTCCGCGCGCAGGGTGAGCGAGATGAAGCACTGCTGCAGCTTCTCGTTGGCAAAGTTGATGCACAGCTGCTCGAACGAGTTGCTCTCGAGCACCTGCGCGCGAGGGGAGGGCGGCGGCGGCGTGGGCGGGGGAGGGACGGGGGCTGGCGGCGATGGAGGCGGAGGGCGAAGTGACCTCAAAGCCGTAGATGTCGAGGATGCCAATGCTGGCCGAGGACGGCCCGCCGGGAGCGATGCACTGGTTTAGCAGCAGCACGAGGTGGTCGAAGCCGCGGGCGTAGAGCGCGCGTGCCAGCGCGTCCCTCGTCGCCGCGCACTCCTCGGCGGCGAGCGGCGAGGTGATGCGCTCGCCGAGGCCGGTGCTGATGGTGCGGTGCGTCAGACTCTTCGTCAGCGTCGCCACGTCCACGCCCAGCAGCGGGGCCGCGTGCTCGAGCGCCTCGCGCGCCGCGGCGTCGCGCGGGCCAACCTCGCCGCTGCCAGACGCGGCGAAAGCGACGTTGCCCAGCCATAGCACTGCCGAGACGAGGCGCAGGATCGCCGACTGCGTCTCCTCCGCGAGCCCGACCGCCGCCATCGCCTACAGGAAGGTTCCGAGAAGGCTCCGAGAAGGTTCCGTGCGCCTGCTCCGCCCGACCGCCGCCATCGCCGAGCGCATCGCGCCGTACTCGCGCGCATCGTCAAGGCCACGCACGGTGGCGCATCCGGACCTGTGGCATGGGTGGGAGCAGGGTCGCAGTGTGTCGAGAGCACCGCGTGCACACAGGGGCTACGAACACGGCGGCCACAGTTGAACGCAGTGCAAGTCGGAACACACGTGTCTGTTCCGGGTCGCGCACCGCTGCAGCATTGCGTACCCACCGGCTGGAGCGAGGCGGAGGGCTTTCCGCTCGGCATCGGACGCGCCCGCGATAAGGTAGTAGAAGACGTGGAAGGAGCGCTCGCCTAGTTCGCCATTAGTTGGTCATAGCTAGGTTCGGGTGGCAGAAGACGACGGAAGGAGCGCGAGTCGCCGCTGGCTGGGGTCAGCACGCGCGGCTTCTCGAGCAGGTAGTTTGTCACGCGGCCGCCGACAATGCCCCCGGAGGGCGAGAGCTCGACCGTCATGTACTTGCCGAAGCGCGACGAGTTGTCGTTGCGCACCGTCTTTGCGTTCCCAAACGCCTCGAGGAGCGGGTTCGAGCCGAGCAGCTTCTCGTGGATGGGACTGCGCGAGGCAGTGGCGCCGCCGCCGCTGGAAGAGGATGTCGCAGCAATGTACTCGAGCAGGCGCTTGGCCGCCTCCGTCTTGCCCGCGCCGCTCTCGCCGCTCACCAGGATGCACTGCCGAGAGCACGCGCCGCCGGCGTGGCTCGCCTTGAGAGCGGTGTCGGCCACGGCAAAGACGTGAGGCGGAAGCTCGTGCCGGTGTCGCGTCTGGTACTTGTTTCGCAGGCCGACGCTGTACAGGCCGTCGATGGGCTTGAAGGGGTTGACCGAGATCACCACAGGGCCAAGCCCCGTGTATATGCGGCCCTTCTTGAATAGAGCTTCAAGGTTGGCGACGACAGCCGCCTCGCCCACCTCCTCGAGCAGGACGAGGTCGTCAACGCATCCAGCGGTGAGGAGCCGGGCGTCCATTTGTGGTGCCGCCGAGCAGAGCGAGCGGGACTGAATGGAGAGCACTTTCAACGAATGGCGAGCGGTCGCGGCCAACTTCAGTGCCTATTTGTTTCTTTTTTGTGACCGACGCGGTTTTCTTTTTTTCTCGGTTTTTTTCTAAAATGGAAGATACAGAGACGGCCCAGGAGACGGAGCAACCCCGGATTTCTTCCTTGCCGGCCACCATTCTGTCAATGCTGGCCGTGCTCCTCTGCGCCGCAACAAGCACTTCCGCCTTCTCGGGCCGCGCATTCGTGCGCTGTCCGTCTCCGCGGGTGCGTCCCGCTCTCCTTCAGTTCGGCGGCGAGCGCGATGCGGCGGCGAGGGCGGCGGCGAGAGCGGCACGAGCCGGCCGACTCGCACAGGACTTGCCTCCGGCGCCCGAGGCGGATGCCATCGCCGCGCAGTCCGTCGCACAGCGCCTGCGGGGCGCGCGGGCACCGGAAGGTGCAGCTCCGCAGCTGCTGGATAGCGATGATGTCGCGAACGTGCTCGGCGAGTTTGCGAGGAGCGACTACGTGCGACAGCTCTGCGACTACTGCAATGTGCAGCCGACGGACTATGGCACGATCCGGTGCCTCTTCAAGTCCGTGCGGACCGATGGCGCAAAGCTCGTTGTGAAGCTCAATCCCACGGTCGAGCAGCGTAGCGAGAAGCTGCTCGATCGGCTGAAGAAGCACCTCCGAGCAACGATGCCGGCGATCAAACAGATTCACTACGAGCAGGGGTCTCCGCCCACGACACGGACCATCATTGTTTGAGAGCAAGCGTCGGGGGTCTCCGCAGATTGTGGATACAGCGAGGATAGCCCGAGCCGTGCGAGACGGACACGGAGAGACGTCTTACTTACTTAGTTTGCGCGAGAGCGGAATCTCTCTCTCTCGACGAGTCTCGTCACGTTCTCTATTCTCTTTCGGCTGACCTCGGTCTAGCGCTGTTGGGCCCCTCTAGGTGTACGTGTACAGGTGACCTCGCTCTGACCTCTGTTTGCCAGCGGAGTTCACCACAAAACAAAGCAAAGTCTTACCAAAGTCGAAGTCCGTAGTCCCGACCCACGACTCGTCTCACCTGCCTCCGCGGCGTCGCCGTGCGTTGTGCCCACAACACAAAAAAAGTCACAAACGTTCACAGCTGCTGCAAGGTGTCACCCACGACGCACGAAAGGAGCGCTGCCGAGCGAGAGGAGGGCCCGCCTGCACAGGCCGCCGGCCGCCGCCACGCTGCTCTCCACGAGCCCGAGCGACGCCGTGGCCCGGCCGGCGGAACGAGCAGCGCGCACGCCCTCGCCGACCGTGCCGGCGCCGGACTGCGGCATTGCGCGACACGCGCGGCCCCCTCGCCCGGGCGCCCCTCCCGCGCCGCCTGGGCGAGCGCCCGCGGGCTAGTCCTCGATGCCGGTGAGCCCGTCCTCGGGCGCGGGGAAGTCGTCGGGCATGATTGTCATCAGCTCGTCCTCCGACACCTGCTCACACGGGCAGCTGCTGAAGAGACGCCGCTCACAGCCACGGCGGTCGTCGGCTCGTCCTCCGATACCATCCCGTTGGACGAGGGAGACATCTGTCGCGCGCGCGCGGGGGGGGGGGGGGGGACGTCAAAGGAAGCACTGGGAGGAGTCTGGGAGGAGTCCAGGGAGCACGGTGTGTCTGCGGTGTGTCGTGTGTCTACGGCGTGTCTGCGGCGTGTCTGCGGTGTGTGAGCGGTGTGTCTGCGGCGTGTGAGCGGCGTGTGAGCGGCGTGTCTGCGGCGTGTCTCGCCTTCTCGTTGAAGACGCGGATGGCGGAGCCCATGCGCGCGAGGTCGATCGCGTTGCGCACCTGCGTGCGCACGGAGGGCGGGGCTTGAGGTTATGAATCTGCGCAGGCAATGTCTCTCTTTCCGTCTGCCTCCTGACGAGACTCCGGGAGGGTAGCAGCACAGAGGCAGAGGCACCGCAGTGCTGCGACGGAGGACATGGTCCTTGGTCCGTGGGCTGCGCATCTGGGGTGCGCACCGTGCGCGCGTTGGCAAAGAAGGGCATGCGCTTGCGCTTGGAGAGGTAGTCCTTGAGCGCCGGCTCCGCGCCTGCACGAGAAGGGTCCGAGAAGGGTCCGGGAAGGGTCCGAGAGGAGGCTGCTGCTCGAGCTGCTCCGCGCCAGGGCCGAGCTTGTACTCGAGCTCGCGGCACATCACCTGCTCGCCGAAGGGGGGAGGGGGCGAGGGGGCGATCCGCGGGGGGTTGACACGGCGTCGAACACACAGCGGGCGGGGCGGCGGCGGTGTGTCCGGGGGCGTGGGGCGCCGTGCGGCGCGTCGCGACTCTCGGCGGCTCCGGGCGACACCTTTCCAATCTCGACGAGCTCGTCGTCCTCGTAGTCTGGGAACTCGATGTGGTTGCCGATGCGCGAGGCCATGCCTGCGAGGGCAGAGCAGGCACGCGCCGGAGGTAGCCTAGGTGGTTGCTCCGGAGCTAGGAAGTGGTTGCTCTGGCGATGGCGAGGGCGGCGGCGGCGCAAGCGGTGGCGGCGCAAGCGGTGGCGGCGTCCGAGGCGGCGGCACCCGAGGCGGCGGCGTGGGCGGCGGCGGCGTGGGCGGCGGCGGCGTGGGCGGCGGCGGCGTGCCGGGGATGAACGAGTAGAACTTGTCCATCTTGTCCTTGTACCCGGCGAGGACGACGATGAGGTCCTCCTTGTTGTTCTCCATCACGTTGAGCAAAATCTCGATCGACTCTTGCCTACACTTAGTTACTACTCACATCTCGTCATAGACTAATTCAAGAACAGACCTCGACCGACTCTTGCCCGTAGTCGCGGTCGTTGGCGGCGTTGTACAGGTAGTACGCCTCGTCGACGAGCAGAATGCCGCCCATCGCCTGGAGGGGCAGGCGGCGGCGTGGGAGGCGGCGGCGTGGGAGGCGGCGGCGTGGGAGGCGGCGGCGAAGGCGAGAGCGAGCGCGGCGGCGGCGAGGGCGGCGCGGAGGGGGCGGCGGCCAGCGGCGTGGGCGGCGGCGGCGGGAGACCGCGCCTTTTTGACCATCTCCTTGGTCTTTGGCGCCTACGGGCGTGTCTCGGACGTGTCGCGGACGTGTCCTCGACCTCCCGACCGCCTGCCCGGCCTCGGGCGCCGTGTGGCCCACGTACTGCCCCACCAGGTCGTCGCGCGTCGCGACGACCACGTGCCCCGTGCGGCAGTAGCCCATCCGCTGCAGGATCTGGCCCATGCGCAGCGCGACCGTCGTCTTGCCGGTGCCGGGCGCGCCTGCAGGAAGGGTCCGAGAGGCTTGCGCGAAGGGTCCGAGAAGGGTGCGAGGTCTCTCCCTGCCGCGCCGGTGAAGCCCATGTGCAGCGACGGGACCGACGTCTCGAGCCCCAGCTTGAGCCGCATCTTGTCCACAACCAGCAGCGACGCGATCTCGCGCACGCGCTGCTTGACCGGCGTCAGCCCGATCAGGTCGTAGTCGAGCTTCTCGAGGATGTCCTTGACGCCCTCCTTGTACATGAAGTCGTCGACGGTGCCAGCCTTGACGTCGTCGGGGATCTGCGTCAGCAGCGCCACCTTGCGCGCGCGCTCCTCGCGAGCGCGCTGCACCGCCTCCTCCCGCGCCGCGATCGCCTCGCTCTCCAGCCTCCGCTCAATGTCAGCCTCCTTGAGCTTGTCGGAGAGCTTTGCTGTTTTGAAGTTGGGATCGTTTTCCACGCCGCCCCACTGCAGGCCCGGGCCGCCGCTGCCGCCTATCCCCGCCGCCGCCCCGCCGCCCTGCATGCAGACCGCCGCGCGGCCGGCGGCCGGCGCAGGCAGCGCTGCCGGCGACAGCGCAGCTGCGCCGGTGGCGAAGGCAGCGCAGATGGAGAGAGCCTGCGAGGGCAGGGCCGGTGGGCGCCTCAGTCGGGTGCGGAGTGGCGGCGGTCGTGGATGGGTGATGCGGGCTGATCTTGGATCACCATTCTCGTCGACCTTCTCAGCAAAAGAATTTTGCCTGCGCACACCGGGTACGGGACTGGCACTACAAAGGACACAGCAGACGGCCCCCTCAGGGGCCATCGTCATCGAACAAGTCGATCTCTGCACGATTTAGCCCTCCCGAGCCGTAATCCTCCCCAAAGGGAGCGAGCTCCGCGCGCTCCTCGCGCTCCTCCTTGCACCTTGGCGCGCCCCTTCGCCGCCCGCCGGCGGCGGTTGTTCGCGTCCGCCTCTCCAGCAAAAGAATTTATCGGCCCGCCGAGCCGCACGCGCTTGACGGCGAGGCGGCTGGTGCTGCAAACACGTTCCGTGGCCGCAAACACGTCCGAGAAGGAGCCCTCACCGACTTTGGTGCCGAGAAGGACGGCCACCGCTGCCCTCGCACTTTTCGCTGCGAGCGGTGAAGGCCGCGCGGAGGTGCCAGCGAGCGGCGTTGAAGCAGTCGGAGATCATTGGAGTGGAGACACAGACGGGAGTGGATTACGTAGAGCTCCCTTTCACGACACTGGCACGGGACTGCCCCACTGGCACTATGCACACAAACAATGGTATTGCTAAAAATCTCTCTCTATGCACAGGAGACACAGAATAGCTCCGCCGTTCATAGAGGCAACCGATGCGAGTCGACTGGTGTGTGTCGTCGTGGTTTCGTATCAAGAATACTCACTCACTCACAAAAAAGAGACACAACCGAACTGAGGCGCCCGTGGGGACCCCGCACTTCCCTTCCCCCCTCGGAGGGCCGGACTGAGGCGTCGAGGGCCCCGCTCTTTCCTTCGCATAGCGGCCACTCTTCGGATCGCTGGTCGAGCGACCCGGGGGATGCCCCGCGCGCCTGACCCAGGCGCGAAAACGAATCTGCGAGGCGTGGCCGCTCACGCGGCCCGATGGGGAGGAACGGGGCGAGCCCCCCTCCAACCCACCCGCGCTAGGTCCTGGGTGACGTAGGGGAAACCCGGCGAGCCTCGGGAACTAGCCGGGGCAGTCGGAGAAGTGGCAACTCCGTGCACTGACGGTCGGCCGCCAGAAAACACGCCTCCGTGGCTCGGGTCACACCAAGCCTCGCTACCCAACGCGGCCAAAGGATATCCACCTCGAGAACCTCGAGAGAGAGACAGGCAACCGAGTGAGAGTACCCGACAGCGTAACGCCATCCACCACCTTGCGCTCGGCGGCGGCGCACCGCGAAGCAGCAGAGGGTGGGGCGCGCTCGCGCGCGAGCTTTCCCAGAGCAACAGTAATGGGCAACGCCGCCGCGACGCTCGCCATATCGCTCGACCAGGAGGCGGCCTACTCGGGAGGAAGCCTCAGCGGCCGCGCCTACCTCTACGTCAAGGAGGAGATCAAGTGCACCGCGCTCCAGCTCGAGGTCTTCGGCGCGGAGTTTTCTCACGTGCACTGGACGACACAAGAGACCCATGGCTCGGGGGAGAACAGGAAGACGGTCACCAAGCACCACCATGCATACGCACGCCGTCACCTCCTCCGCGTCGTCGTGACGCTCGCCTCCTTTCCGAACGGTTCGCTGCCACCCGGCTCGTACGAGTTCCCCTTCTCGCTTGTGCTCCCGTCAGGCCTTCCGAGCTCGATGTACGCGGCTGGCGGCGGCGGAAGCTGCAAGATATCGTACAGCGTCAAGTCGCACGCCAGGTCGTTGACCTCGCGGCGGGCCGTCGGACGATCGAGGCAGAGCTGAGCGAATGGGAGAGGATGCTGGCGAGGACCGATCTAGACGCCGCCTCGAAGTGAGGGAGTGCAGGTGAGCATCGACGAATATAGCATCGACGAATATACGTCAACTTGTATACGGGCTTCACCTCACAGCACACTGCACACAGCAGTACGCATTTTGTAAGAGTTGATCTATACGGGGTGTGGACCCTGAGTTGACCAGGGGTTGTGCGCTGGGCCCTCCTGCTCGGCTCCAGCCAGTAGACAAGTCTTGTCATCAACAGAGTAGATGGATCTGACCTCGGGGCCGATGTGACCAAGCGCTGGTAGCGTGGTTTAACCTCAAACCCATGGTCTCACAGTGTGCCGGCAGTCGCCGAGCAGTGTCGCTCACACAAGCCGCAGCACAAGTGACTGAGGGCCAGTGAGGGCGAGCCCATCGCTGTCACAGCTGTGGCAGCCGCACAATAGGCTGTGTCAACTGTGCAGAGTGTGTGAGCAGCAGAGGAGCTGCTCTCCAGGCTTCTGTCGCAAAGAGCTGCATGCCACCGAAAGCGCTGTCGAGGTTCGCCGAGCGCGGCGCAGGTTGAGGGACACCGTCACCGACGAGCGCGTTGGAGTATTCACTCCGGACAAAGACGGGTACACGCACACAAGCCGCGGTCGTGTACCCGTCTTAGCGGCGAGGCGCGGGACCGTCTGTGGCGAAGTGGGTCGCGTCCCTCGATTTCCTCAACTCACGGTCCGCTCCCTCTAGAGGGATCCTAGAGTTAGTTACTGTACCACACGCATCTCGAGGGCTTTCGCGACAGCGACGATGTCGATGACGACGAAGGAGAGAAGGCGGGAGGAGAGCGGAGGGGCGATGTCGCAGGAGGAGCGAAATCGCGAACGGCCCGAGCAGAAGGGGCCCTTGCAAGGGGGCGACGGCGGGGCACGAGGGGGCAACGGAGACGCTACCGATGATGTAGCCGCTGAAGCCGATCGGGTAGCGCTGGTTGCCGCGCCCGCCCCAGCGGTGCATGATGAGGCGTCGCCGCTGGGCAGAGGCCGGTGTCGCGCGCCCGTCGGGCTGGGTGGAGTAGACATAGTTGAGCCAGAAGGTTGGGTTTGCCTCTGGCGTCTCGGAGCCGCCGAAGAAGTGCTCTCCTTTGTGTGGGGCGTGGGTGGAGAGGCGGGGTCAGGCGGCGAAGCAGCGGTGAAGGGCCGTGGCTTGGAGCTCGCCTTGCTGCCAGTCCAGCAACCATCTCTCCCCACCTCTCCCCATCTCTCGAGTGAGCGCGCCCCTTTTGTTGTTGCCACAGGCGCGCGGTTGGCTGTACGCCTCTCCCTGGTCGCCGTCTGCCTGTGGCTCGCATTCCGGTGGCGGACTCAGGGGCTCGAGAGTGTTGCGGGGTGCCTGCTGATGCCCGTAATCTGTGCGGCGAGCGAGGTGATGGGAGGCGCGGGCTAAAACGAGAGGGTTTGCTGCTTGCTGGTCTCACACTACAGGTGCTCTCTCACGTGTGCGTGCGGTGTGGCTGTGCCGGGGGGGCGCGCGGGGCGGGGGAGGGGCGCGTCCGGATGAATGACGTTATAACATCCCAAAAACGCGCGGAAAAGTCCGGCCGCCCAGGACGTATGGGGACGCAGGGGTCACTCCCGCGCGACCTCGGGAACTAGCTCGGGCGGGCAACTCCGTGCACTGACGGTCGGCCGTCAGAAAACACGCGTGGATCGCGTCACACCAGTTCCCAGGTTAGGTTAGGTAGAAAGGTGAAGAACAGCCAGGCTCGGACTGGACACCAACGCGGTATGGGTGGACGCTAGACAGATAGATGATGACGGCACGCACGAGCGACACACCACAGACACAAACAGGCTCAAAGACACACAGCCAGCGGGCTGCCACACACCCTGAGTTGGCGTACACATAACTCAGGGCCACATCCTCCCTGTCGCCCCCCCCAGCACTCCACGGTGCCAAACAAAACAACAAACAAAGGAAGTTCCCCCATATGTATGTATGTAGTAAGGTGAAGAACAGTCAGGCTCGGACTGGACACCAACGCGGTATGGGTGGACGCTAGACAGATGATGACGACACGCACGAGCGACACACAGACACAAACAGGCTCACAAGACACACAGCCAGCGGGCTGCCACACATCCTGAGTGGGCGTACACATCACTCAGGCCACGTCCCCCCTGTCGCCCCCCCCAGCACTCCAAGGTGCCAAGAGACAAACAACAGCACAACAACACAGACAGGCGACAGGGGCGAACGTGTGAGACTAGAGCAGGCTTGCTCCGCCTCTAGCAATCTCGTCGCCGGCCGCAAGGCACGGACGAGACCGTGTGTGGGGTCTTGTGAGGTGTCTATGGACGCTCTCCTCTCGGGCTACCCGCCAGCGGCTAGCCCTAACTCGCACTCATCTGGGTGACGGACAATTCATTGGATGAGCATCAGCGAGCAGAGGTGCGTGTGCTGAATCTAGATCGCACGCCGTGGCATATGACTTGGGTAGGCGTGCGACCGCAGCGCGCCCGCCGAAGGCTCGACCGGGCGCGCGTGTCAGCCAGAAGTTTGCCAGTAGAGCGATCCTGGTCAACGGGGCCAAGAATAAAGAAAAATGACTCGGGATGACGGCACGCTGCTAGCTGCCCCCAGAACGAGAGGCACAATGCTCACCACTCCTCCTCATTCAAGACGTCTTGCTGTTTATCTTGCTGATGTAGCCGCCTTGCTGTGCGTTGCCGCGCTGCTGCTGCACTTCCAAAATGGGGGCCGGCCGACGCCGAGCGAGCAGTGGACTGGCGAAATCCGGCAGGCGTCGGCGCTCATCGCCGCCAACTTCGCCACTTACGTCAGGACAGGCCTCGGCACGCCCGGCCAGGGCGGCCGCAACGACTACCGCCCGCCAGCCGCTGTGGCCACGATCAAAGACACGATCCACGCGGCGATCCCCGTCGTACGCGAGGCGAGTGAGTACGCTGCCGTACGCGCTCTGCTGCGGCAACTGGGCGGCGCGCCTGCGCTGCTCGGCGAGCTCGAGGCGCTGGGGTTCGTGAGTGAGGGCCGCCTGACGACCGGCACCAAGCCGCTCAACGTCTTCGCACGCGTGGCAGCGGGCGTGGTGACACAGCCGGGGATGGAGGCAGAGCAGGCGAACCTTGGCGCCCACGGCCAGCGATTCATGATCGCGTGCAACCTGCCCGAGAACGAAGAACACTGGTCGAGCACCGCGCCCGAGTGGGTAGGTCGAGCGTCGATGGGGCAGCGGCATCGCTTCATGCTTGTGCGCAAGCTGCACTACACAGACCCACTCTCGGGCCAAAATAATTAGGCTGATTATCAGGCTAATCTCGCCATCACAGCCAGGTAATCGCCTCTCTCGATCTCTCGATCCATGCCTCTCTCCATCAAATATCTCATCACACACACCTCTCGCTCCTCTATCATACACACCTCTCGCTCAGCTAGATCTCAATCACACACACCTCTCAAAAACTGCACTACAGACCCACCCGAAGCCACATAATTAGGCTGGTTATCAGCGCCTCTAGCGTGGCTGATAGCGCACGATAACCACGAGCTATGATGCAATGATCCAGCTAACTATTAGGTGCGTAACCTGTCGTGGAGCCTCTTCAACGTGGCAGTCTTGGGCCTCGGAAATGCACAGCAGGTGCCCGTGCAACCGAACCAAGTATTAATACACCCAATCCTCTATCGGAGCTCTCGCCGGCGCCTGCCCTCTCCTCTCGCCTCCACAATCGTGCCTCCGCGCCACCTTGCCCCGGCAGCTGCGTGCGGCGGTGGAAATGGTGGAGGCGATGGAGGTGGCGGCGCTGCTCTACGCCTCGAAAACTCCGGCCTGGTCGACCGGCCTCGGCATGTACTTCCACGTCTACGGCCACGCGTCGGTCAACGCGCTCCACCTGCACCTAGTCGACCTGAATGCGACGGGTCCTACCTTCGAGGCGCTGAGGTACAAGAATCTGCCGCTGCAAGCCGTGCTGCACGTGCTTCGCAAGGAGCTGCACGGCGGATGAAACACAGGGGGAGGGCGGAGGCGATCCCTAGGGCGATCCCTGATCAGTCGCCGTTAGGTCTTTGTTAACGGGGGCGGGGGGCGTTGTCCGTTGACGAGAGGGGGGTCGTGTTCAATATGCTCCACGTGTGCATGTGCATGTGCATGTGCGTGCACATGTCCATGTGTGGAGTAGGCGGGCCCCGATGCGTGCAAGCGGGCCCCACGATGCGTGCAGGCACTAGTAGTCCTCAAAGGCGAGCAGCGTGGGGCAGCCGACCACCACACCCGGGCACTGATAACCCGCTGAGAGCCCGACCAGCAGCCGGTCGCCAGAGAGGCACGCGCTCGTCGCCAACACCCCCGAGTCGCGCTCGCCGTCCGGCCCGCCCGCGGCGCCCTCGCGCCTCGGGGCCCAAGGGCCGCAGCGTCTGCACGAGCGGGTACGGCGCGGCAGCCTGGGGAAGAGGGAGGGGGGAGGGGGGGGGGGTGGATGAAGGTGAGGGAGGAGAGCACGTTGCACATAACGTCACGTTGCACTTGGACGTTGCCCCCCCCCCCCCCACACACACACCCGGCCGATCGGGCTCAGGTGCCACAGCCGTGTGGGAGAGAGAGAGTGAGGCGGGGCGGGCTAGTCAGGGCGCGTGTGGGTGTCTGTGGGGTGGCAGAGAGGGCCTGCAGCCTGGAGAGGGCGTTCTCGGGCAATCTCGGGCGATATCGGCTCTTCTCACCGAGAGGACGTGCAGCCGGTCGGAGGAGAGGGCGAGCAGCTTCTCCCCGCGGGAGAGGAGGCGCCTTAGGGCCGGCTCGCCCGGGTGCCCGATGTGCTGCCGCCGCCGCACGACCTCGCCGCTCGCCAGCGAGAGAGTGGCATCTGATGGCAAGCCAGGTTGACAAGCGCGATCTGCACCACGCCCGGATGAAGACATTGAGATGCCCCCCCAAACGATGGCAGTGTACGTACTTATAGCTTACTGGGAGAAAAGAGAGAGGGGGTTGTGTTCTCTAG